AACGAGAAGCTGCCTGCTGATCCAGCAACAATGATATCACTTCCCCTGAGACCAACAGGAGGGATTACATCATTTCCTTTCTGTTTCTCTGCCTCGTATCGACATCTGCCTCCGTCTCTCAATACAAGGAAGGGAGACTAGTACTGAGAAAAAGTGGGAGGTGGAGACTGCACGCTCTTATTTTCCTCCGCTCAGATATACTGTGCTGTATATATATGCCTCTAAACACTTCATATTACCATATACCTGCCCTGCTGACCTACACTGAGGCATATTCTCAATCCTTAATCTAGTGTGTTTCTCTTTGTTTTCTGTCATGGCTGGGATATAACTAAACTGACTTAATACACACAGAGATGAGATTACACTAGGCGCAAAGGTAGTTATCAGCAGCTGGTTGTAGTGTTCTAGACTTTATTCATTTGGGCGACACAGCGTGAATGTCTTTTTTGGTTTTTCTGTGCACTGCCTTAGCATGAGTATTTATTTATTTCTTAAGAAAGGAGAAATGTATATAAGTATGTATTCATGCGACATTGGCCCAAATTACGCTCCATTGTGTGTGTGTGTGTGTGTGTATTTGAGCCCCATGGCTGGAGCCAGCAGATCCCTGGGGTACTCAGCTGCTGTGTAATCTGATACTGAAACACACACACACACACACACACACACACACACACACACACACACACACACACACTGGTGTGTTCCCGATTAAGGGACAGAACAAATGACTTCTATTTTTGCTCCAAAAGAAACAAACAAGAGGCAGCAGGAAGTTGATTCTACTGTAGCTGAATGGATTTACCATGGATGTAACAAAGTTGGGTATGGTGTGGGAGAGTCACCCTTGCTGTCAGATTGCTCCTGTAGCTCAAAACATCTCCCCCCCTACACACACAAGTCGGCTGGAAGTGGAGGTGAGCTACATTTGTGGCAGAGCTGGTGGAGGCACAACTTTGCTATTCTGAGATACCTGCCAGCACCGGGGGGCAAAAATGTTACATCTGGCCTGAGGGTGGTGCCAGAGGGTAAAGCTGTCACCAGAATCACCTATTGTGACATCACCCATTGGTTTGTGGAGTATCGTTTTGAAGCCTCCAGTATGGAGTTATGGTCAAGGCAACGCAGTAACAGAATCCAGATCCATATCTGATCAGCACTGCCTAGTTTGACAGTTTGATCTGAGTTTGGTGCGTTGATCTGGACGGACTCACTGAGAATGACCTGTCAATCACAAGGTAGCCACGTCCTAAAGCATACCCTGATTTATCATCTATTTTACTCTAAATGGGAACATCATTTACTAATTGAACATCATGCTGTATGGAAGAAGACTGAAACTAGAGATTGAGAATTAATAAACTCATCAGGAAACTGTTTACTGAGCTCATAAAACTGAGAAGTTGGGTCGATTCTCCATGAGCCTCCACACTATCTGGCCCTCCCCCTGCTGGCCATTGCATAAAATGTAGTTTTGGCTTCACTTCATATACTGTCAGTGATTTTATAGTTAGCAAGCAAGAAAGAGATTTACTCGACAGCTGGTCAAGGCCTGGTCACGCGAACATTTAAAAACACACAGTACAATTTCAGCCAATATCAGTTCATGTCAGTGGAGATATCCCAATAAGTGGATTTGCTTGCAGGAAGTGAAATAAATCTGCTGGAATTTTTCAGGTCAAGTTCATCTTTGGTGAACTTTAAAATGCAAATTTGCGCCATTGACAGATGGCAAACTGTCTTGACGGTGCTGACCTTTCAGGGAACAGAACTGGAGAGTCCAAAATGGAGGAAGCTATGTTGTAGCTTTTTTTTTTTTCTTTCTTTTTAGGAATGGTTTGCAAACAGTTATGAGACTGTAAATGATTGTACAAATGTGAATTTATTGTCCCGTTGGCAATTGAGCTAATGAACTTGCTAACCAATGGTTGCCAAGCTAGCAAGCTTTTCACGCGATTGTGACTAGCACTTGCTTGTTCCTGGTTTGCAAGTGTGTTAGCATTTAGCTCACTAGTTACAGTTGATCACCAGCTACCTCTAGCAAGTAGTCATCAATAACATTCCCGAGCTTTGAGCACCACCTGTATTGGGAGGGTGCATGGATGAACTTTGCTGGGCCGTTCTGGTGTGACCAGGCTTTAAGGGTATTCCTAAAGGAAAGGTAAAAGAGAGGCTGAAATACATTGGACCCTTCCTCAAGAGGTTCTCCTTCACTGTAGCATTATATTGGACAGGAAAAACTAGGGTTTCCTTATTGCTGAGGACAACTGTCCAAAATCCCATGGCAATCCAAGCTAAAGTTTAAATACTCCACTATGGACATTGCCATCAGCTATGCTGCAACTGTAGCATGGCCCAAAATACAGCAATAAGTATCATTCTTAAAAAAGCCTGTACAAATTCAATTTTACCATGATTAGACATTACTCTATATATTTTTACCTTGCTATATGTTGCCAAACCCATCCAGCTCCTTATAATAAACGTAGAAACATGAGCCACTCCTTTACAAATGTGGCACTCCCACAACCACACAGTGTGTATCTATAGTGTGTATATTTATATGTATGCACACAACACTTTGATATGATCATTAGTACATCACGAGTGGAGCAGTTTGTGCAGCTGTGTGTGCAGCGAAACTAACAACAAAACTGAATAACAGGGCAGCATCCCACACACACACACAAGCACACACACACGCTCTTTCGCTTTAAGTTTCTGAACTGAACAAACTGTCTGATCTCCACAGAAAAACCAACATTCCCAACTAAGTGTTGCCAAACCTCCTCTCTCTTCTCACACACACACACACACACACACACACACACACACTATATAACTTCACTACTTAATTTGTCACTCTGTGTTTAAGGGTTTCTTACAAGCTCTAACATGAGGAAGTTCAAGAGTTGTACAGCTAAATGCATGTTGTTGTCCCTTTTTGCGACTCACAAAACAATATAAACAAAACAAAACGTATATATGGTGGAGTGCGGAGGATGAATTGAGCAGCACAGCCTGAGGTAAGAAGCTGCTCTGTAGTTTGGTGGTATGGCAGCGGATACTTCTGTATCGCTTGTCAGATGGCAGCAGGGTGAACAGACTGCTGTGGTACCTCAGCTCACTGATATCACTGATGCTTGGTAGATGATGTTCTGTGTGGGTTTAACTGCCCGCTGCAGAGTGGTCATTCATGTCATTGGTAATAATAGTGAGAAAAAATGACTTTTAGGTGTTTGTGATAGGAATCATGTGGTAGGGCCAAGTCGACTCTTGAGTTGTCAGTTTGTGCCAAGTAGGACTCGACCTCTGTATTTTAATTTGTCATGTGCATGTGGGTCCTACTTTTTCTAATCTATAGTTTTCGCCACTGTTGATGTTTTTTCTTTAATACACCTCATTATGAGAAATATATTATTTAACGTTCTGCCCAGTTACACTAGAGCTCAGCATGCCTGCAAAGCAGCTAGTCCACACTGAACACCTAACAGCCGACTTGTCGAGGCAGATTTATACGTGTGTGGGTATCACATGGGTATAGTGTATAAGCACACAAAATGGTGATCTTTTTTAATTTCAATTTCTCAACTCAGATCTTGGATTCAACCTGGCAACTTTAAGTCATTTTACACAAGTGCATGCAAGTTAGGGTTAGGTACTTCACATTCAAATTTTGTCACCATTTAGTTTTCTTTTATAATATTGGTGCCTATCTGACTTTGACGTTGATCCATGCTACTGTTTCAATAGCCTTGTAAGTGCTGATCAGATTTTAAACAATGGTGGTTTCACTTCACAAAAAACCTCTTTCAGCAATGCTAAATTATCTAAAAAGCAAGTGGCCGATCTTAATCAAGATCTAAACACTGCTAAAATTTCTTTTTAGCATTATCAGAATTTCTTACCATTGGGGACAACTTGGCACAAGCTCACTGGCAAGCACGAGGTTACCATATCTATTGCTAAGAGTAAGCTGTTCTTGGTTTTAGGGACAGCAAAGAAACTTTACTCCTACACACAAAGGGTATCATGCCACTTTCCACTATTTATACCAAACTCTTGCAGACTGTTACATAAAATGACATGACTATTGTCTTAAGTATCCAGGAATTAGTTTGCACTGACCACAGATTTAAAATTCTGGCATTCAAGAGTCGGCTGTGGGTAATCACTGGAGCCTCTTGCCACAGAGATATTCAGTTTTCCACTGAGGCCAACAGGGATGAAACACAAGTATAAAGAATACAAAAGCCCACAAGAGGCTGGGAATGATTCAATACGGGAACATTTATTTTGGAAACCTCCAAATAGTTTTCTGACCATCAGTTCAGTGCTGGCCTGTTTTTTTTTTTTTTTTGTTGTTGTTGTTTTTTTAACAATTGGTTAGATATTTAAGGATTAAAGCAGAATAAGTGACACACAAGACGGTAATAGAAAAATATAGTATGCTGTACTTTGGGTAAACCTCAACTATGAACGCAGTGGGATAATAATAAGAAATGTTACACACTGTGTCTGCACCAGATGTCAGCAAAAACCTTTCCAGATACCAAAGACCAGTTAAAATAAGATTACAACCAAGACATTATACCCATACTTTACATGACTGTTGAACATCTCATTCCAGAACTATGGGCATTAATCTATGCCTCCACTGGTTTCAGGCTTTCCATGTGATTTTTCTTGCTGCAGGGATTTGCTCCCATTCAGCCAAGGTTTCAACCAGAGTTGATTTGGTAGAAAATCTGCCAATTAGGGACCAAATACATCGGTGTATAATTCTATGTTGTATCATTAAGATTTGTCTTCATTGGAACTGAGGAGCGTAGCCCAAACCAATCCAAACAGCCCCAGGCAAGAAGTACCCAAAAGGCTAGCATACATTTGGCCATATATTGAGAAGAATCAAGCACAGGCCAGCAAATAAACACAGAACAGAACTTTCCATGTGACAGTGAGATATGAAATGATAAAAATGGTTTAATGCTGTTTACCTTTGGTCTGCTAACACTGCTCAGTCCAGCTCCAACACAGCACAGAGTGGATGAATTAAATCACCCTGCAGAGACAGAGATAGAGAAATTATTTTATTATACATGATCATATTTCCTTTGGACGGACATTTGTACGGTCTTCCTTCCTTCGTGCTGACAGCACTATATGAAAACCACACTGGGCTTCTGACAGTTGGCTTTGGTTAGTCTGAGGCCTAAATATTTGGGGATTGTAGATAGCCATGGCTTTTAAAAGGAACACTCTACCCAGAGTCAGATGAGAATGTAAGCAAAGGTTCCATCTTTGTGGGTCCAGTACTGAGATCAGTCCATTGCCTAGCTTAGCACAAAGACTAGAAGCTCCATCTAAAGTACAAAAATACTACTCCAAACACACACACACACACACACACACACACACACACACACACACACACACACACACACACACCTAACAGCTGTCTACACACCCAATGTACTGTCAGCAGGTGGCACTAGTGTGTGTGTTTCTATCATGCTGAGCAGGCTGGATGTATGTGACCTAAAAATAACTGACAGGCCACAACATTTGAATACACTGCTGTAGTCTCTCTCCTACCCAATGTGTCTCTGTCCCTCTCGACCCACTGCTCTCCTTTACAGCCACTCCTTGCATCCTTTCCCTTTCACTCCATTTAGATTTTCCCCGCCCACTTTCCTGAGTCTCTCTTGGTCTGTGGAAAAAATCGGTGACATTTCACTAAAGCATCCCATCTCCTGTCAGATTCAAATCGCGCTGAAATCACGTCTCACCTTTTTCTGGAATTTATACACAAGTGCAGTGACTGAAGACAGCGTGTATGTAAAATTTAAATGTGTGTGTCTGAGCGGCTGTTTTGGGAGTTGTAGTATGCATGATTTCATCTATCAATGGATGTGTGCGTTTGTGTGTCTGTCCTTCTTCCACAAACAAACCATACAATGAGAAATACACAAAAATGACACAACACATGATCCACAGGAGAAACACACACACACACACACCGATCCTTGCTTGCATAAGATCATTAGCAGCTCTCATATGATCAGTAGCTGATGGCTGAAACAACGAGAACACTGTTGTGGGACACGCACAGTTATCTGCCCTCCACCAGTGTACTGCTCATGGGTACATCAGTACATCAGTGTTCCCGGTGCAGACCATTTCAACCAGTCCGGGGATGCAAAGCAGCAATCCAGCGACAAGAACTGAACCTGGACAGCTGACTGCAACATGCATCCCCATAGTATCATTGGTAACACCTGTATTTACCCAACTATTTCATGTCAAAATGGCTGCTGTGAAAAAGGTCTATTTTAGAAACAATGCAGGCGTTATTTTTACTATTTGTTAATGTCAACAACAACCTGATGTAGCTTATGGCACCGTGCCATAGACCTTCATTGTTGTCCAGAAACTATTACATAACAAAAGTGGCTACTGCTCAGCCTGAAAGGGTTTACTAGGTATTGAAAAGATCATACATGGATACAAAGAATGGCTCTGCTGTCCTCCCAATAGGTCAAAGTACACAGCTATGTAAGTCAAACACACTTCCACTGAAGGCTAAAGACGGAGTATGGCCGCTGAAGGTTTTACTGGAAGCAAAAGTATATGATAAAACACAACTTTAATGATAATGACTACAAAACATAAAAAGTTGAGATACTACAAACAAGAGTAAGAAAAATGGTACTGTAATAATTAGAGATGCCGCGGTCACATTTGTTTGCCGCCAATACTGACTGCCGATCGTCTATGTTCCTTAGATTCCAATGGGCTAAACCCAAGCACTGTTAAAGTACTTTCCAGACCCGTAGAAGCGTGAAAGGGCAACTCCAGACAATGTCCAGACCTGACTCTCCAGACAGACAGATCTCAACTCAGTAGGGGGGGGGGAAAGGGGAAAAAAAAAAATTTCAAAATTTTTTGGGGGTTTTGGGGAAAAAAAAAATAATTTTAATATTTTTTAAAATAATAATAAATTTTTTTGACCTCCTTTTTTTCCCCCAACCAATTTAAAACAGAGGGGGAAAAAAAACCCTTCCCCCCCCCCCCCCCGGTTTAAAATTTAAAAAAAAATAAATTTTAAACCCTCCCCCCCCCCCCCCAAAAAAAAAACCCCCCCCCCCCCCCTCCTTTTTTTTAACCCCCATGGCCCTCTAAACCCCAAACCCCAAACCCCCCCCCCCCCCAAAACTAAAAAAAAAAAAATTATAGTTAGGTTGGGGTGGTGGGGTTTTTTTTTTTTTTTTTTTCCCCCTTCACACCCTCTTAAAAAGAGGTGGGAGGAGGGAGGTGGAAAGGGGTCATTTATTATTTTTTTTTAATAATTTCCCCCTTTATTTTTTTTTTTATTTTTTCTTTTTTTTAGAAAGGGGTTTTTTTTTTTTTTAAATTTTTGAGGGGTTTTTTTTTTTTTTTTTTTTTTTTTTTTTTTTTAAATAAAAAAAAATTTTAAAAAAATAAAAAAAAAAAAAAAAAAAAAAAAAAAAAAAAAAAAAAAAAAAAAAAATAACCCCCCCCCCAACTCAGCCAAGGATCTGATGAAGCTTTTTCCGTCAGGTTTTTGTACGACTAGAAAGCATTAATTCCGATCTCCAGAATGCATATTTTTACTAAATATCGGTCAATAATGGTCAGTGGATTAGATGAATTGGCAAAGCAAGAAGACTAACGCATCACCAGTGAAAGACCAGCGTTAAGTATCCATGGGAAGTACAGTACTGTAATTCAATGAAATAAGCATATAACATCCTTAACAGGCCTCAAGACTACAGTACACAGAGTAAAATAAATAACTGAGCAGTTAAACCGAAAGTAAATTAATAGTTACCTAGAATGTTGTATTGACATGGCTAGCTTAGTTACCTTAAAACTGATCACAAAATCAACATATATTACACAGTAATCTGCATTTTATTTATCTCTTTAGGAATGACACTGTAGGCCTACATCTTGTAATCATCAAATCAAATCACATTTATTCACAAGTTATGTACATTTCAATACAATAAATTATAATGGTATCTTTTTTTGTTTCAATACACACACACACACACACACACACACACACACACACACACACATATATTTTTTTCACAGGCCATGTGACAAGAATTAACCAATCGCACCCACCGGACTTGCTGTGCAAAGACTTACCCAGTTGAAAGGTCAGCCAAACTGAAGATGCTTTTTGTTCTTTTCTACTCACAAATCAAGCAGTAAAGCTACTGCGAAGGGTGCTGGTTATCCATGTATCTTTGTTTTGACTTTTAATAAGTCAGTGAAGCTTACTGCTAGATTACTTCATCGTCATGCAGCCCTGCAGGTTTTGGTTGCTTAGTAACAACAATCACAACAGTAGCGCAACCTCCTGAGCACCTTGGCTAAAATGATGAAATCAGTGTCAGCCACGCGTTTTCAGACGCAACATCTAAACGGCCCCTTAACCGACATTCCCTGAACAGAAGGCAGGGGGTATGTACACTGTGACATAGCAACAGAATGTTTAACTAAAAGCAACTGATGGAAGCAGAACAATTTGTACTCTCCATCATCCTTCCTCGATGTGGTAAAGTTCAAGTTGGACAGATGTGGTTGTGACATACAACTTTACACTTCCATCTCATCTAAAAATTGATGTGTCATTTAAAATAGTTCCTCAACCCGCTGTGTTGCAACCGATTACTGCACAGGAAAGTATTAGGAAGAATTAGCTAATAACACTGTTTCAAAACAACTCGTGGTCGCCATCTGCCCTCTGTACAATAACTCTGAAGGATTGGTGTGCTGAATGTCTTTGATTGTGGGTTAATCACAACCTCTTAGTACTATAAATAGCATTCTTTGTGGTTAGTCTCAACTAATGAATATCCTTGACTCAGACTTTCCCCAATATCTTTGTGGACCATCTTTCCAGCAAATTTATTTTTTGGCTTGTTTGGAGTCATTCATTTTCTTTTGTCATCCAGCATGTAGAGTTAACAGTTACATAATTATACCACTTAGTTGGTTTTTAACCCAAAAAGACAGACAACTAGCATTTATTTGACAAATCAAAACGATCAATAATAGAATCTGAATTTTAGGTTGACCTTGACCCTTCACAAATTTAAAAATTGCATTCAACCCCAAGGTGAAAACCCTCCTACCACTGACAGATTGCTGCTCCAGTGTCTCTCTAGCTTTCCACTTACTTTGTACAGCAATATGTTTCAGCCGTGTCTACATAATACTGGAGGTCATCCAGAATCCATAGAGGTGTAGTTAGATACTTTCAATGTCTAATACAGGCTGAGAAATAGCTCACATTTCACTTGCTTGACTTTTTACCAACCGACATTGAAAGCAAAGCTCTGGGCTCCAGTCTATGAGTCCTCAAACCTTCACAAACAGTCCAGACGTGAAAACACACCTATTATATTCGATTTCTGCCAATAGATCCTCCTAAATGTTACACACTGGACCTGAAAGTAACCATCTGGATTAATCGATCAATCGTCTGGCCTAATGCCAGAAAATAGTGATACCATCATCCCAAAGATAGCTTCCCAAAAAAGCCCAAAGATATTCAGTTTACAATCATAAAACAGAGACAAACAGCAAATCCTCATATTGAGGAAGCTGGAACCAGAGCACGTTTGTCTACAAAACTTAACAAACCAATTCATTCAGTATTGCTGTTATTTTCAGTCCTCTAATCAATGAATTGACTAATTGTTGCAGCTATAATCTCTTGACTTCTGAGACAGCCAACCTCTCCTGATACATATATTCAGATTTGGGTTTCCTACCTTGTCATAGGAAATATCTCAGTTCAGTTTTGAGTCCTATTTTTTAATAAATATCCTGTCTACCACCCTTACTGGGGTACCTTTGAATTCTGCATCTGATTTTGAGTTGGTTTTCTTTACTTTTGAGGTCATCTTCTTCTGGACAAATATGTCGTATGTTTGCTGAGGCTTTGTGATGCTAAAGCTCTGGTTCTCCTTCCCAGCAGATTTATGACTCCTCTGTTGCCCAACAGGCCGCATTAAAGGGTAT